TGGCCACTTGAGCCCAGGAAGAAGCCTACATGACCGAAGGGGTATAAAGAGGGGTTCAGTAGCCCACCCTATTTGAGCTCCAATCATCTATACCTGCTGGCAGGTATTGATTGTCTCCCGAGGTCTGTGGGACGCCCAACCTCGCCCTACTTCTTCCCGAGGGATTGAGAGAAAGACGCTGGCCACGCCAAGTCTGGAACGCACAGGGTAAGAATTATACCTGCTAGGTGTCTATTTTGCATGCATTTAATAAGAGCTCAGAGAACCAAAAGGGTTTCATGGTACCTGTAAGTGACTTATTAGTGTAATTTCTGTCCTGTCCTTTGTAGTGACTGTTATCTGTAACATAGTAGTAGCATTTAACAACTAAGTTTACCCTGTAACAATAAAATAGTAACTGTTTAAGCTTTAACCTGACTCCTTCAGTTGCTGTAACAGAACCAAGCACAATTTTAAAAGAACTTTAGCTGGTCATAAGGGACAGATATAGGGAGAGCTTGGGCGTTTTGGATCGTGTCGCTTCCAGGGGACAGACCAGTTGGCGCACCTCTCAGCCTCCCCAGGCTGCCCGCTGCGAAGGGATTTCTGTATCCTAGCACACACACACACACACACACACACCACTCACTGCCCTGACCATCGGTTGGCAGAATTGGGGCACCCATCAACCTCCTCCAGGTTGCCCGTTGCAAGGGACCCCGGTCTCAGCAGTTGAAGTCTCGGGTGTATAACACACACGCACACACTGCCCTGTCCGTTGGCTGACAAGCCCTCTCTCTGTAAACCTTGTACAGAGTGCGCTGGCTTTATGTGGGGCACTGGCCCTTCGGGACTGTGCCCCTAGAGCTGAGCTGCTTCAGCGTCTGTGTGGCTCTGCTGGGGGCTGTTACCCAACTCTGCCCTGGTTGGGAGACCAGCGCGTCTGGCCCAGCAGGACAGGGGTGACAGCCGCGGGAGACCCCGGGACAGGACCTGTCATCAGCAGCCCTATCAGTAGGATGGTGGGAGACCAGGGAAGAGGAAATGGCACTTGAGTCAAACCCGCCGAAGTCCCTTGAAACATTCCCAGAGTCGCCCAGGAAGTTCCCCCCCCCCACGCCCAGGCGGGACTCGGCTCAGGCTGGTGTTCCCCTGGCCTGGCTGCACGGGGTTTACATGAAAGGAGTTTGGTGGCACCAGCCCAGGTCCCCGATTACAAGTGTCTGCCAAAAGCTCCACCACCCGTAACTCGGCGCCCTCCATGGCACCCACTCTGGGACGCTGCTGAGCGGCCGGTTCTGGACTGGCCATCTGGAACACCGCCAGGCAACACCCCCACTCGCCCGCTCGCTGGGCGTTTCACATCCCAGGCCCAGCACGCCTGCGAAGCGACTTGCCAGCGGGCCGTGCCCAGCCCCCGGAGCAGGCAAGCGGCAGAGCCAGGGGTGAGATTCACTCAGGTCACCCCCAAGGTCGCAGCTGGCACTTCCGAACTCCCAGTCCTGAGCTCGCACCAGCCCCCAGCTCTGGATTCAGCCTCCCCACAGCCACACGTGCTGCCCTCTGAGCCGCAGGGCTGCCCTGGAGAGCCAAGGGGGCTGGACTCCATGACTCCTGAGCTCTCCTCCAGCCCTGGGATGCTATGAAGGCAGCTCGACTCCCTCATCCTCAGCCCTTCCACAGGACCAGCCAGGGGCTCCCCTTGGGCCTGTGCTCGTCGGGTGTCTCTCCTCCCGCTCTCCCTGGGGCGAGCCCTTCTCTGTGCCCAGGGTCACCCTCAGGCCAGCAGCAGGGCTGGGTTCTATTCCAGGGTCCCAGGCCAGTGCCCCATCCACCGGGCTCCTGTGTCTCCCATACCTGCTGGGAAGAACAACGTGCACTGCCTGGCGCCCCAGACACCAAATACCTGGACAGCCGGGACCTGGATCTGAACAGGTACCTGGGAGGCAAAAGTCCCATTGTCGGGAGGGAGGTGCTGGAAGTCCCGGCTGCCAGCTCACCTGGCAATGAAGACAATGAGGCCCTTGGTACTGGTCCTCTTGCCCTTCTGGCTCTTGAGTGGGCACTGCAGCTGGCCACGGACTCCAGCTCTGCACATGGCTCGGGTTCCAGCGGCCACCAGCACCAGCCCAAGGACCCTGTCTGATGCAGCACTCCCCTGAGCTGCAGATGTGGGAAGGGCACAGAAGGCACTGAGGCTGCTCTAGAGCCTTGTCCTCGAGCCTGATAGCAGGCCCAAGGGATCCGAAAGGGCCACTGTGGTGGCCAGGGGACCCCCGCTGCCGGTGCAGCCCGTGAAACCTGGCGCCGGGAGCGTGAC